GTCTCACATTTTTGTGTTGATCTATGAATAGAATCTATACATCGCTATGAAAAAAGAATCGAGGATCTAGACATCTCGATTGGAAAAGAATCAAGGATCTATACATCTCGATTGGAAAAGAATTGACGGTCTATACATCTCAATATGAAAAGAATCAAGGATCTATACATCTCGATCTAGAAAGAATCAAGATCGGAAAGAATCAAGAGAAAAAGAAAGAATCAGAATCGATCCATAGATTTCTCGAAATAAACGAGGCCAGCTCTCTCTCTTTTTTTTTTTCCTTTTATATTTTTGAATTTGAAAGGAAATTAAAAGAAAATGGGACTTATGAAATGTCATACATTCAATATTCGATGACGGTTTCACATGCTCTTGGACAGTGCAAGGGTGATCTCAAGATTGAGAGGCACAGTACTGCAGTCGTTGTTAGCTCCACCACTGCCTCGTTCGAAAGATGACCTGAAAACATTGGTCTGAATTTGGAGCATAAGATTGGAATTATCATTATTATCATCATTGACATTCTTACAACTAGACTTCTCGAGAAAATCTCTGAGGTTATCTTGAGGAAATTTTGTTACAGCTTTGTGGCCGTGATACCTCCTCGCTGCTGTATCGTAAGCCCTAGCAGCTTTTTCTGATGCATCAGAAATCTTGAGCCAGACAGAGTGTCTCCTCTGGAAGGGATCTTTATTATCAGCTTTGTACCTACTCCGTGGCATCTTCCTCACACCTCCTTATAACGCATCTCACCTGAGGGAATCGTCGTCTCACAATGGCTATTTAGTAAGTATGTGGTGTCTTTCAAACCATCTAAATTTAAGTGATATTTGAATCAATTCTTTGTGAATGACAGTTTAACAAGTATGCACACCAGGTAATCTCTTTGTACTCTTTAATGTCTCTTATCTCTTTATCCAATCATGCAAATTAGTTTCAAAGCATGCATTGTTATTAAAAACTTCTAAATTGATAACAGAACCCATTACTTTGCTTGAGCCATTGAATTTCCTGGTCTACCAACTGAATGTCAACTGAATCAAGTGCAGCAGCAGGGTAATTCATGAAACCAGGAGGAGCAGCGGGGTAATTCGGGAAACCAGGATAATTCGGGAAATCAGGAGGAGCAGCAGGGTAATTCCAGAAACCAGGAGGAACAGTAGGGTAATTTGGGAAACCTGGAGGGACATCAGGGTAATTGAGAAAACCAGGAGGAGCATCAGGGTAATTCTCCACTTGTTTCAGTTGACATTCAGTTAGTAGACCAGGAAGACCAGGATAAGGTTGAGAAGTTAATCCTTCTTTTTCTCTCTGGTTTTGCTAGAGCCATTGAATTTCTTTACAGCTCTGTTTGTATTATGTGGAGATCTTTTTTTTTTTGAGAAGGTAACGATTTGTATTATAAACCAGTACTTATGTAGTACTGAAAGCCCCTTACAAAAACGTATGAAAATCTAGGAACAAAAACAGCAAGCCTAGCATATGATTCTAATACTTCTAGGATTGCTTCTGCATCTACAGGGGAACTCTTTGTACACCAAAAACATAATAACAGAATACAATCTGTTTTGATCATTTGTAGGGATCTGCTTCTATCCTCAAAGCTTCTAGCATTCCTTTCTCTCCAAATGGTCCACCAGATGCATGCTGGAATTGTCCTCCAATAACTTATGTTCTTTGCCTCAATTCCTGCTTCCTCCCAACTTGAGAGAGTGTCAACAATCTTGCTAGGCATTGTCCATTGAATGCCTCTGAGATTGATGAAAATCTTCCACAATTGATCAGTGATTTTGCAATGTAAGAACAAATGCCTAACTGTCTCTGCCTCCCCACATAAACAACAATGTGTCACCAGAATGTTGTTTCGTTTCCTCAGATTCTCATGTGTTAGTACTGCCTCCTTTGCTAGCAGCCAAGTGAAGCATGCCACTTGAGTGGAATTTTGGTTTTCCAGATTTGTCTCCAAGGCCAATTGAGGGTTAGAGGAGCCCT